TTTGAGCTCTATCCATCAATCTCTTTCTCCTCATAAATCCACAGGTGGCCCAAGCTTGCACCATGAGCCTCCAGGGTGAAATATAAGGATCTTTGAAGTAAACACGAGCGCGCCGTCGATTCATATGTTGATTACGAACTTTCATTTTTTAATATACTCATACAGCAGCACAAATAACAAAAAAAAAGGCTAATGTTCAACAAGTCTCCTTTTACAATTAGGGTAGTCAGGTATTTTACCTATCCATGTTACACCGATGAGTACAAGACTCGTTTAAACGTGAACATGCCAAATTACTGTAAATCCAGTACATAACAAGACAGAAAAAAAAGAACAATAATAAATAAATAAATAAATAAATAACATTAAATTAAAATAACAAATATAGGAAGATATAAAAATAAAAATATACGAAAATCAATAAAACCAAGAGGAATTCTAGCTGTATAGAATCCGAACTATGTACAAAAGTCACAATTACACTAAACTCAGGTAGTCAAATTGACCTCATCCAGCATTGACTTAAAAACGTTAAGAGATGGAGCTCCCCTTACGTAGTAAGGCAAATTGTTCCATAATCTTGAGGCGATGTAATGATACGACCTATGCATAAATCTACTATCATAGGTAGGCTGATCTAGCTTGCAAAAGCCTCTTATATTATGATAAAATTTCGGCCACCGTAAGTAAAGACTACCGAACGATGATCGCGTCTCATTATCTCGCCTCGTGTGGAGATCAACCTTTAACGCAATTCACAAACGCAAGTTTGTACTACCAATCATTGTATTTCAACACTGGCGTTGTGCATCACTACAATGCAAACCATTAGTGCTTACAGTACACTCGCAAGAAACGAGAAGACTCGAATGAAACGATACGCGTCTCGAGAGACACGAGATGCTTCTCGAGAAATACGAGTGGCACCTTACTTTAAAGCGGTAGTGTGGAGGGCAAAGTAGATGAAATAAACCCGCGCTAAACAGCCCTAAATTAGTCCAGAAAACTAACACGACGGAATGCAACATCCTCTTGAGCCAGTAATTTGGTTTTCATCCAAAACCAATTCTGTATTTTTAAGGTTTAGAGTGCGACCGTTTATTCTCATACAAATCCTTTTATTTCCCCCATTGCGTATCATATTTGCATATTTACCTAGGCTCACTGTGTGACTTTGAGTTTCTTGTGATAAAACCGTGACTTTTTTCCCCAAGAATTTTGTTTTAAAGATCAAGTCGCAGGCGAGAGTTAATTATCTTCAAATTTCTGATGGCTCTAACCTTGTGACAGAATTATACATCCCTTGATACACAGTTGGTAATGGCTAGTTGTTCATCTTGCATAGGTAATTAATTTCTGCCTTAGAGACAAACAGAGAACTTTTCATTGTCACAAGTTGATTAAAAAGCGTCAAAAAAATAACTAGCTCCATGCCATTGCAGCCATTCTCGGTAGCACTGGCTCAGTTTTGCAAATTAAAGAATAAATTTGCTACAAAACTTTCTTTCAAAAAATCTCGATGATGCCACTTACCACTTCCCAAGCAGTGTAATTGGAAAGTCCAAAATAGTTAAATTTTTCTTCTGAAATCATGAAAACCAGCAAAGTATAAATCAGAACAATGTTTTTTCAAAAACACTGCTTGAATCATGGACACGGAACTTCACTCTTGGAGAAATTCTTCTGTAATAGCCTTAACTGCAAGAACACATCCTCAAAGCAAAAACATGAATTCTACAGGGGTACACCTCCCACAAAGGGGCATTTTGGGCCTTATACATGGAATACTCTTTAAGTCCCTATGACACCTATTTTTTTAGCATAGAAGTATGTAGAGGGTGTCTGGTAAGATTTGTGGGTGATTCTGATGCGTCTTTGTTATTTTAAGTGACGATAAAAGTCTGAAATTGTATCGAACTTAGGCTCCCTGTATCTCTTTGGCCACGTTAAAGAGTACTGGAGCCCATGCCGTAACGGTAGTAACACCAAGTTTATCAAAGAAGCAAAGTGAGTGTGAAAGCTACTGTTTACAATCTTTTTAGCCAAAAAATACCATTTCAACGTGTAGTTTGGGGTTTTTCGAATACCCCTGACTTAATGAAGAATATTTCTCTCCACAAGATTCCTACTGTGACGTCATGGTGCCCAGTCCCTCTTTGCTCTGCGAGACATTTTATCAGCGGATTATAGAGCTTAATAAAAAATTCAGAAAAGGGCAAAATACCACAAATGTTACGAAAACATGTTTAAGAATCATTATATTTTGATGTAGAATAGAAAAAAAATAAGTGTTATTGGCACACCTCCTGTATGTGGGCAGCTCTAATATATGAACACCCTCTTTCATCTAAATCTTCCAAAAAATTGCACATCACCTCATGAGTGAACTAATGCATTACTGGACACCTTTGGTGTCCAAAAACCTCATGCTAGGTTGAGTAAAGGTATATAGCATAAATGTGTCTCTTATCTACTTCAGTGCAATATACCTTTATACAGTTGATTAACAGCTTCAAGTGTCTCCTCAATGGGTGTGTTATGATCTGGTGCATGAAGATAAAATAAGTCCACAGAGTCTCTCTTCAGTCTTTTAAGGGATTCATTCAGCTGTTCCAAAACACTGTCATACTCCAGACCTTTGGATTGTGAGAGCACAACATCATGTGAAGCTTAAAATTGGAATGTACATGTAATGTATGGCTACAAATTGGAATAAAACCTCTCAGAAACATGAAATTAACAATGAAAAGTACTAGGATCAGTGACTACAAACCTTTTTGACTCCAAGGATTGGCCTTTGTTGCTATGGATACCTACATGTTCATATAAATATCAAGTCAAAATTTATTAGGTGATTTAAAAATGCCTGAAAGCAAACAGCTATTCAACCTGTTTTAAAAACTGTTTATGTGTGCAAACACTGCATTGCCCAAGAAAACACTTGAGAGGCATATTTTCAGTAAAGTTTTGCATTATTTCAGGATAAGGTTTAGAGATGTGCAGGCTACTCTCAGTAGGTAATAATAACACTTGCTGACCTATCTTTAAGAATAATGTTGGAAATCAATCATACTTTAAATGAACTAAAATTGAATTGAATTGAATCATCCAGATTGTGACTTTTTGTTCACCTTGAGATCTCTGAGACTCGCTGTTTTTCCAATAGCTTCCTCACTTTTACCATCAGCATATCTTTTAAAATATCAAGCAAAAGTTGATAATTGCAAACTAGCTTTGACTGTTGCATGTAAAGAAGTAGCAATAACATCAAACTTTTCTGGTGTAAGCAACATGTAATTAGCAAGGAGATTTACCCTTACAACTATTACTGGAAATCTCAACAATGTCCACACAAGTTGCTGTTGTGTTTAGAGTCATCTTGAAGATATCAAATGAGTTGATGAAAAGGTGGCATTTTCATGTTAGGTATTATCAGTTCTTGTATGCTCTGATGCGCTTTTACCACTGCCACTTTGTGGGGTCTTGGCCTGAATACATTGAGCAGTTTACATTTTGAAATTAAATTGTTTTACAGTTTATTGTCCCTATCAAAGAAGACTAGAACATCTAACCATTTGCAGATGTCATAGCAAAGGCAGCACAATCTCCTTAATTATTTTAAGAACCTGAGTGTTGGTCCAGCCAGGGGCTTGAACCCTCAACCTCCCACACAGCAGACCATGCCCTCTGGCGGAGTATTACATGACATACATCTCTCACTTTTCTCAATAAAAATGGCTATGAAGGAGGCTTCTTTAGTGTTTACACATAAGTTCAATTAAGAAGAATGATTACTTACAAATAAGCTGTGTCAACATCATAAATCCCATTTTTTGTGCAAATTTCCAAAAACTGATTTTCCTGTTAAAACAAACATGAAGACTTCCATGGTAACCCATTCCATTCTAAAACAAAGCCCTACTCCCAAAGGCAATCTATTGTTTTTGCTTTTGTGTTCTTTATCCAAGAACTGTATGCATAATTTAGTATGAGCTTGTGGGGAATCTTGCCAAACAATCTTTTAGTTCTTAGAACAGTGTGACAATGTCTTCAGTAGATTGAGCTTAAACACAATCATAAGAAAATCCGGGGGAAATCGGATCTTGTTCAAGTTAGCCGGGGGGAAGGGGTGGGTGCTAGTTAACCGGGTGTTCGGGTAATCGGGCTCAACAATTTTCAACTCCGCGGGTTGCCAGGTTACATAATGGCGGCGCGCTTACAATACTTTTTTCCCGGTTACAATTACATTGACTAACTTGCACCACTGAAATTATTTGGGGCAGAAAATTAAAAGGACTTGGGAATATTCCATTATGTTACACACCTTGCCAACCGTATGATTCTTCCCTAATTCAGAACATCCAAGTACAGTCTTCAAAGGAACGTCCGAATACATTGAAGAGATCCTGCGGCAAGCGCGTACAACGCGTGCAGGTGCAATATGCTGCATCACGATAATAATCACACGACTTAACGATACACTTCGACTGCAAAAAAGCTAGTAAAATAGAAACTATCCCATGCCGAGAATTTTAAACTGCGAAATCATCAGATTTATAGAAAACAAGCCAGAGAGGCAGCGCCTCGCTTTCCGGCCATACTGCCATTTATTTCATCCCCAGTCGCCCACTCGGATTAGGGGCCCAACGTATGTCGTACACACACAGTCAAATCTGAAAAAAAAGGCTGAGTTGAGCGGGAATAGCGCAAAGGCATGGGACTCATTGAGAAAAAAGAAAAATTGAGAAGAGAGGTAAAGGAAGGGAAGGGGAGGGAAGGGGAAAAGAGACGACTTCCGCTCTCATCTTCGGCTACCCCAGCTTGGCTAAAAGAAAAAAATAAGCACGTATCCCATTTGAAGAGATTTCTTTTCTCACTAGTGACTATCATTTGCAGGAGTTTCTGGAAGTAATCCCGCCTTTAAAGAAACTAAGTGTAACCTTATCAATATATTCAAAACCACGCTGGATATCTTTATCCACTGAGACATAAGGCAAGAATGCTTTAAAGAGAAATTTTACATTTATTTCAAAGAGAAGGCTGTAGAGTAATAAGCTTTACAGCTCATGGTTTTGCCAAAAAAGTTTGCCTTCTTCATATTCCCTTTCAGGTCCCATTTATGCCAGCCACAACATTCCTTTTCTGGAAACTTTTACTGAGGAGCCCTCAGCTGGTTACTTCAGCGGAAATAATCAGGACAGTCGGATTTAATTTGGCCCCAGGCCTCTTCGAATACTTTGACCACATCTACAGAAAGAAATGCAGAGGTATCAATGGCCCCCCGAAAGAAAATCATTTCCTTTATTTTCATGATACTAATGAATGATTCAGCAGTGTGACTGTACGGAGAAATTAGATTCTGGTCACTCTTAGGTTTTAAACAGTTAAGAAAGTTTCGAGATGGTATATTTTATGCAAATCCACCTTATTGTTTTCCATCCTTAAACATCCATGTTCCTGCTTTCCTTACTTTTATGTAATAAGTATTTTTTTTTTTATCTCCATGATCCATCTCAACTTTCAATTTTTTCGTTGTGTCCTTTGATGAGACAGTAGTTTTGTTCGGCGCCAAAAACGAAGCGAACCATTCGACATAGCCCTTAAACTAACGTGATATTTCACTATCAAACTGAGATCCCCACACTAAAATTAACTAAGAAGACTTTCAAAGTGAGAATCCAAACTTTAATCCAAACATTTACCAAAGTCGACAATGAATAAAATAATTTCTTTGCAAAAGTATTAATTATGATAATTCATACCCTCATGTAAGGGCCCGTGTTTTGTACTCTTCAGATTTTCCTCCAAGTGTTTCACAGACGAAGCTCCAACAATAACAGCATCTGAAACAGTAAAAGTAATAATATTTCAACTGATACCTTTTCCTTGAATGTCCTCTAATAAATTAAGCAAACTCGCGATTTTTGTGTAATCTTTGCGGAAACAGTATGGCCACTGGGAGTGAGCGGAGATTTGGAGAATGGAGGCTGGCAGGCTAAAATGTGTTTTAGCCCTCTAGCACGCTTGCGTATTTGTTTAGAGTGTTTTGTTGTCACCTACCTCCATAAGTACCATCCATCATAGAGTGGTGGTACATCCATCTGAGGGACGCGTCTACCAAGGAAACTTTTCCTTCACCGTAAATACGATCCAATGTTGTTCTGAATTTGTCAAGTAAATCAAACAACGGCTTTTTCCAATAAAGCTTCATATGACTGAAAAGAAATCACAGCTCAAAGTTAAAAAAGAGGAAACATAAAACTAGTTTACGTGAAACGCGAACGGCAAAAGTGACCACGCCCCATTTTTTTCCCGCCATTTTTTCACGTTTGCCGGTTGCGCTTTGCTGTTTTTCCCCGTGAAAGTAACCTGTTTCGCGTTTGCCTAGTACGTAAGATTTACTTCACTTTTTCTCTCACAGAGTAGAAGTTAGTTGCCGGAAAAAAGTGCACCAAAACTATTCCTTGTAAATCATACAAGGGCGCCTTCAAATCAACCATGACCTGAGCTCAATCAAAGCTAGGGCAGCAATCGGGCAGCAAGGTTCATGTTATTTTATGCGAAATGTGAGAGGACAAGCTGACGTTTACCCTTTCACGTAAACGCGGTGCTAAATTTCACTATTGTGTGGAGAGGGGCAATGTAAGACATAACGGTCTTGAACAAAAACTCCGCAACACAATGGTTCAACCCACATGTTTAAGCTTCGGTCTTCAGGCAAAACTAAGAAAGAGTTCATCATGTGGAATTTTTCTTAAAGCAATGAAGAAGATGAGAGAACATTGTAGAATTAAAAATACTATTGACTGTCTGTCGCAAAGACTGGAGAATATTTGGGAAAAAATTCGTTTTTTCTAAAACAAAAAACTCACAGATCGGTCCTAGTGCCTTGGTTAGCATATCGGCCATCCTGAATCTCGCCGTTTTCTCTGTCTTCATAACGATGCTTTCCCGTTAGTATTCCACCTGCAAGCTATATTAACATCAAAACAGGGAATTATAAGAGGGTAATGTCAGACTGTTTCGGAAAGACTTAACGATTGTCAAGTTTGGCCACACAAGATTTCATCAAGGTGACCTACCGGGTTGTATGCATAAAAAGCCATGCCAAGTCTTCTCAGGCAAGGAAAGAGTTCTCTTTCAACATCCCTGGAATAAGAATAAGACATTATTTTGAGCAAAATACTTCCAGTATAACTGGCAATTAAAAAGAAAGGGCTGGAACAAACACTGAACTAGATTCTTCCGGATTTTTGTTCATATTTTGGTCAAAATCGTTTGATGAATCATATCTCTAGAATCTGCTTCTTTTCTGAACTTTCTATTCACGTTATGGCTATGAAAACGTTAAAAATCAACATTTCGTTTTTGGGTCGAACTTTACTGAAAATATCACGTCCTTAGCAAGCTAGTCTTAAGGTTCATAACATCTCCCACCTTGTGATAGAATTGTACATCCCTTGATACACTGTTGGTCGAGGATAGTCCTTCGTCTTACACAGGTAATAAATTTCTGCCTGAAAGAAAGGTCGTAAGCACAAGCGCGTTCATTTCAGTTGCCGCTTAAGTAACACAAAAACAAATGTTGATCTCAAAATGCAGGAAACGGCCCATTTTTAAAAAAGACATTTTCTGGGTTAGCTTACCCCCATATGCCCTAGAGGCTTGCCCCTTGAGTGATTGTGGTCATCTCTACCAAAATTTCCCTTCTTTTATCTTAAAGGATTGAAATCTCTGAAAATACGAAATCAAAGTGTTTCGAAATTTATACTACCGCTAAAACCATGAAATAGATGTTTCACAATAAATTTATCATAATCAAGCACCAATTATGATCTGTACTACACTAAAAATCACAACCGTCTTGGATACAATTCTGACATGTTCTGCATATTTTTCGCTGAGATTTGACAAAAAATTGGTTAGTTTTCATTTAACTTCATTTTATTTCAACTCTCATTTCACAATTTTGACAAAAATGCAACAATCTGCAGCTGTAATATCACTTACCACTTCCCATGCAGCATAATTGGAAAGTCCAAAAGCTTTAAATTTTCCCTCTGAAATTTCAAAAACCAAGTAAGTATTTTTACAAGTTAAACTTTGACTGAGTAACAGGGAGTTTCCATCAGTTGAAACATGTCATAGATAATGACCCCTGACACACGAGGAGTTGTAATGTGATGAGATGAAGTGAGACCAAGTACAGGGACAAATTTTATAGGTGGAAACTTTCCATTGGTTGCCACCTCTTAGCATGGACACCTATCAAAGCTACCACCTCTTATATAGGAACCTCTTGAAAAATGGCCATTGTTTATGCTTGGAAAACTTCAAAGTGGAGTCTCCTCCTAAAAGAATACACCTTATACATGGAAACCTCTCTAAAAAGGTCATCCCGTTTGCTTAGATATCTCTCAAATAATTTAACATCCCCAGTAGGAGATTTTGATTGATATGAGGACCAAATCATTTATGAACACACTCCACAAGGACACATTCCATATGTAGATAAAATTCGCACCCTAAAGTCACTGATACCTCACATAAATAGACACCTTGTGCCTGGACACCCCTTGTGGCTAGACACCACTCATATAAGATCACATTTAACATGGGCATTTCTTAACAAGGGACATGTCCCCAAACCTCATAATTAGGAGACAAATCCAACATAGGTATACTTCCTCCAAGATCTGCTTTGGTTAAGAGGTCATCTCCATTCATGTCTCTTAAACATGTTCCAGGGGAAATCATGTACCTTTATAAAGCTGATTGACAGCTTCCAGTGTCTCCTCAATGGGTGTGTTATGGTCTGGTGCATGGAGGTAAAATAAGTCCACAGAGTCTCTCTTCAAACTTTTGAGGGATTTATTTAGTTGTTCCAGCACACTGTCATACTTCAAATCTATGGGGAAAATTGCATGACATCAGAGAAGACAAGCAGTTTTACTTCGTCAATTAGATAACTGCTTAATTACATTTGTCTATTGGTATCTTGTATTCTAATAAATTGTAATTTCACAGAAATCCAAAGTAATCTAGCTTACACACAGTTACACATTACAAACCTTTTTCAAAGGGATTGGCCTTTGTAGCAATAGTTACCTAATGAAATATTGAACTTAATTAGACATTGAATAAAAATAAATAAGTGCAAAAATTTAGAAAAAGAACTGTTGTTTGTCCTTGTTAATGCTGCACAGTCTAAAATTTAACTGGAGCAGAATATAACAATGACTACATACTTAGATAGCAGTCCATGTTAGTGAACATCAAATTCTAAAACTGAGTAAGGGTGGGAAGGGATAATGGACCTGCCTGGGGTGGGGATGGTAGGTATGGTAAATGAGCAATATATCCTGCCTGGGGTGGGGAGGGTAAATGAGCACTATATTCAGCCTGCCTGCCCCCTAAATCCGCATATTTTTGGGAAATAACAGAGACTTCTGTATCCTGTGACCCATTATTTCCAATCACCCATAAGCATTTCAGTGTGGATTTTCAGTCTGTGTGTCTGTTTCCCATGAATTTTACAATATGATGAATGTGATTTAAATATTTTCAAGAAACACAGTAATAGTACTACTCTGGTTACTCATTATTTACCTTGGGATCTCTCAGATTATCTAAATTTCCCATAACCTCCTCACTCTTTCCACCAGTATATCTTTCAAGAGCAAGCCAAAGGTTAGGCTAATATTTAAGTAAATATCATAAACATCCCATACCCACATGATCTTTGCTGTGTGTACGCAAAGGGACTTGCATTTGAGTTTATCACAGATATTTTTACCCCAGTTCTGTAATGACCTGGTCATTTGTCCCTTGGAAATTCAAAACTGAGAGCCTATATGTTCCATTAGGAACAGTGGAGACCAGGGGAGAATGTGCCCCCGACCCCTGGATGATTGCGTTAGAGATGATGAAACACAAGCTTTCGATGAAGAGAGATTTTAATTGTGCGTAGTCTCTCTAGAAGTAGAAATAGGTGTGCTCTTTTCTAAGAATATCTGGTTAAGATGACGTAAACAAAACTGTCAATGAAAGCGTTAAAGAAAGGTACGTAACGCGTGACAATAGCGTGACAATAGCGTGACTTAATAAATGGCGCGTCCAACCCCCATCTCTGAAGCTGAACAAGGAGTTCTCTTCCAATACTCAGGCAGGTCAGAACAAAAAATGCGGCTCATCCTCGGAGTAAAAACCTGTGAAGCTCACGAGTGACGTAAAACAAAGACAACAAAACATTATAAACAATAGCGTACAGCAAAACAAGACCTCATGAAACAAAGAAAACCTTGTCAGGTTTTTACACCGAGGATGACCCAAAAATGCTGCATATCGTTTTCAAAAATTACATTGTACATACCTAAAAGACAAAGTAATATTGCTTTTAAATTTTATGGAGCCAAAATAAATACTTACATAAGAGCTGTGTCAAAACTGTAAATCTCATTTTCCATACAGATTTTTATAAACTCACTATCCTGTAGGTAGAGAAAAAGTTGACGCATCACTTAACTAGTTCGAATCATGTCCTAAATATAACTTACATTTTACATATAATTTGGATATATCAACAAAGTTGAAATGGTAAATTGGCCACCGTAACGATTACAAAAGCTGACGACGTAGGGCTAACGCTCGAAACGTCAGCTTTTGTAATCGTTACGGTGGCCAATTTACCATTTCAACTTTGTTGATATATCCAAATTATATGTAAAATGTAAGTTATATTTAGGACATGATTCGAACTAGTTAAGTGATGCGTCAACTTTTTCTCTACCTACAGGATAATGAGTTTATAAAAATCTGTATGGAAAATGAGATTTACAGTTTTGACACAGCTCTTATGTAAGTATTTATTTTGGCTCCATAAAATTTAAAAGCAATATTACTTTGTCTTTTAGGTATGTACAATGTAATTTTTGAAAACGATATGCAGCATTTTTGGGTCATCCTCGGTGTAAAAACCTGACAAGGTTTTCTTTGTTTCATGAGGTCTTGTTTTGCTGTACGCTATTGTTTATAATGTTTTGTTGTCTTTGTTTTACGTCACTCGTGAGCTTCACAGGTTTTTACTCCGAGGATGAGCCGCATTTTTTGTTCTGACCTGCCTGAGTATTGGAAGAGAACTCCTTGTTCAGCTTCAGAGATGGGGGTTGGACGCGCCATTTATTAAGTCACGCTATTGTCACGCTATTGTCACGCGTTACGTACCTTTCTTTAACGCTTTCATTGACAGTTTTGTTTACGTCATCGTAACCAGATATTCTTAGAAAAGAGCACACCTATCTCGTGCGTGGGAAATTAACGTCTCCTACCCCTAACCCTNTGGGGAGGGGAGCGGGGAAAGGGGCCGAGGGGGGAGAGGGGAGGAGAGTAGAAACTTAGTAGAAGCCAGTTAGATCTGGTTCTATGCGACTTCTGTGAGCCTCTCTATGGGTACCCACAGTCTTTGTTTTCTTCGCGATCTTTTTGCAAATCTTGGTTTTTTTTTGAGGAAGATCTTGTTTTTCGGATTGAAATGGTTTAAACGTTTCTTCAGTGTTATTCACAGATGATGAATATTTGACATTCGTTTCTTTTCCTTATTAGACCTTTAAACTTCATAAGTTGTACTGACATGTACTTATTTATTATTATTAATCTATTATTATTACTCAAATCTACACGTTTTAAAAGATATCAACATTAATCGGTTGTCAAGCAAACTTTCATGTTCATGAAGACCGTTCACGCCCGCAAATTAATGATAGCAGGAGCTAGTCGAGGCGGGCGGGAATTAGAGGTACAGCAGTAGTGAAAGATTACAAATAAAACTTACACATAAATTAATAACATTTCCAGAAAAAGAGAGCCACTTAAAACTCGTTTGTATAACTGCATCACTAAACAGAAGAAAATAGAAACACTATAGAATGTAGAATATAAATTATAAAGCCGGTTTATGATTAGTAATTTTTTGAAGTAGATGGGACGATTCAACATAGTAATCCTCAGCCTCTAGGAACGAAAATAACATGTCCTTAAAGAGTTTTTTTGAAAGCTCTCTTCGGGAGTTGACTAAGAGCATCGCAAATGGAGTTCCAAAGTTTAGCTCCGAAGCTAGCAAAAGAGCCCTGGCTTTGATTCAATCTCGATGGATTAATATTTAAATTGCCGGAAGAAGAGAACCTCGTATCATGATTATGCTTTTCAATAACTTTGATATTTCACTTCAACAGCAAATTGCATCATTTACTGTTTAAATTCATGAAAAGAAATAAAAATTTTAGACCAAATTTATCACTAATATTCTATTACAATTTGTTATCGTTTCTTCATTTTGTCGACTTAAGTCTTGAATGGAACTAAAAATGTTAAGTCGATGATTTCTCCCTATATAAACAGTAAAAACAACAAAGTTGACCACGAGTGTTGGTCAGTGATATCCCTACCTTAGCTTCTAAGCGTTTCTTAAGAGTTTGCAAGCTTCCCTGCTCAGATAACGTCGTTCGACACCACCACGGCTTTACAGACGGCGTGTCGGTATCTTTTGAGTTGATAGTATCTGCAGACCGCGAGGTAAAGGTTACTTCCGGCTTCCCTCCCTCAGGGGCCGAAAAAATCGTATTTCCTTTTATTGGACTAGATTGAAAAACGTATTTTCCTGGAGATCCTTTTTGAAAACCATATTTTATATGAAAAAGTCATCTCAATAAAGATTATTATTATTATTATTATTATTATTATTTTCAAATGAAAGTGAATAAGTCAGAAAGGTACCATAATCTCGTTGATGGACGAACCCCCTGGAGAAATATCACGGCAATTTACATGTTATTTGCATATTTTGTTTCCATCGCGCACGTGCACTTGATAACATTCACACATGGAAGTTCTCTGTTGATGGAAGTCTTTCACATGGATAAAAGACATAAATCAAAATTAGAGAGGAGTCTTTGCGTAGTGAAAAAGAAAAAAATAACAGGCCCAAAGAAAAGAGAAATGGCACCATTTTGTCAGGAAAAAAAAAAAACAATCGTGGCACTCCTCTCCACGCTGGCATCCAAATTGCGAACGAAGAAGTCGCCTTAAAATCTAAATTTATCGTACATAAGGTTATAAACGAAGTTTCCTTTCAATAAGCAAGTACCAGCCTTGATACAAAAACATAGGCAATCGCCTCGAATCGTATAAAATCGTGATTGAGCTGTCTGTCGTTTCGCTGTTTTACTTTTCAGCAGTTTTTCCAGCTTTACCTTTTTTGCCGCGGGCTTTTCCTTTGCCAACTTTGCCCATTACTCAACGTTCAACAGAGCGAGATAAAAAAACGCGAGTGCTCATGATGTGATACTCTTCCCGGGAAAATCTTGATCCCTTGTCATTGACGCTAAGAGGTCCTTTCTTCCCATTGGTTCGCGGTTTCAGGAGGTGAGATAATCTCCTGGTGTGATACTAATTGTTTACAAACCTTTTAGGAGCTAAAATCTCGCAATTGATTTTGAGAGATATACATCCACTTTGAGCGAATTTATAGGGTTTGTACATTTGACCAATTTTCATGAAATTTCGCCAAAACATTCCAGGGATGATGAGGAACGGTACGGTGCCCACAACTGTCACGGCGAAAATAAATCGTTCACGGCGAAAATAAATTGGAGCGCCTTCTTCCCGTCGAAACTGGAACCGCAAACTGCAAACGTGACGGCAAAGCGGCGGTCACGTGACCTCCTCAGGTTCGCCGTTTGCCGTAAACGTGATGCTAAAGTTCCCTATTCACGGCAACTCACGGCGAAAAAGAAAATTCAATAAACGCCTGGGTGGGGATTGGTTCGACTTGGCTCGGATTGCATCATGGGGGCACAACATCTTGGGGCACGACATCTTGGAGCATGACATCTTGGGGCACGACATCTTGGGGCACGACGTTTTGCAGCACCTGCGAGCAGTGTTTACGGAATGAAGACAGGTTTTGTTCTCAATGCGGCAAAGGTATGGGATTTGAACTTACTAAATGTAAAGACAGACTTGTACAAGATGGTCTTTATTGCGAAAGCCGAGAAGGGACTTCGTACTCCGTACTTCAGACTTCAGACTTCAGACTTCAGACTTCAGACTTCAGACTTCAGACTTCAGACTTCGCTTCCTGGGTCCCAGTCCTCCAAGTTTTATTAATTTTTCACTATTTCAATGTTAATGTTTCTTTCGACTTCTGTTAAAGGACACAAGTACAGCTGATATGCTTAATTGAGTAAGGAGGAGTATTAGGAAAGTCTACTGAGGTGTTATTTCATCGACCGTCAAATAAGTTACTTAAATTGGCGTCGAGATCAGTCAAGATGTTGATTGATCTGGTTTAAAAATACCGCCATGTTGAACTTCATTTCTCGGGAGTTCCCCGCCCTTCCTCTTCTCCTCGTTTTGCCTGCCTTGAAGAAGGCATAGTTGAACAACATGTTTTGACGAGTTTGGAATCCATGCAAACCATGTAACCATTGGAAGCCATGTAAGCTTCAACTATGACCACTCAAGCACATAAAGAGAATTAAGATAGGGTGTAGAGGAGCCTTATGGAGTGATCCTTATTCAGCAATCTTAACCAGCCCTACAGAGGTCAAAAGAAGTAAAAGTCAAAATAGCTTACATTTCAGGTTCTGCTTAAGTATTGTATGATCTACAAACTAGCTTGTAATTGTGATAGAAGCCATAAATCTCGTAACAAAACTGAGACATGATCGAAAACTAAGAAAAAAGACTCAGAATCACAGAGGATGAGCTTTTGTTGATTTATGTTGTGTTTCAGTCACTTGCAATTGGGAGTAGAGATACACGATGGTTGCCATTTACATGAAAATTTTAGAGGCTCTAGTCGAAAAAAAACAGCTAGGCGGTTGTCGATCCGTAATTTTCGTTATGCTATTGTTGAGATTTTTAGTTACAATATCCATAGACTCCGTAACTGACCATTCAACATTTGCATTGTCGTAAGTAACACTAACAACATTATATTCCGTTACAGTGGCAAGCTTTCATTAATTCTAGTTACGAAAAGTTATTCTTAACGTTATCCTAAATAAAAGTAGTTGAAATGTCTTGGTTACAGGGCATGAAAATGCTACGCACAGATAACATAATGTTAATAATAAAACGGTTGCTTTTTCTTAACTTGTTCTCTGCTTTTCCTACACGAGTCAACTCAAGACGAGGTTCGAAAGCTGATAAAATGCGGTGAAAGAAAATCGCAAATGTCAGATTAAGTGATCCAGTTTAAGGAATTGGATAATCTCAGAGTACAGTTTAAGAACCTCGCGTTCATTTAAAGGTGGAGAATAATCTGGTTTGATCAATCTCACTAACTCTTCTACATCCTCGTTATGGTCGACACAATTCTCGGCATACATCTCTTTGCACATATTTACATCGTCGATGTTGACATTTACCAAGTAGTTGTGTGTTCCATAGATTTCGGGTGTAAAAAACATGACGTCTGGTTTTCCACCCTCCACGTCCAGTCGTTGTTGTCGCTGAATGTTATGCGTATTCTGCAACTCTGCAACAAGATATAATTCCTGGCGAAGGATAAACAAGAAAAAAAAAATGAGACATTCCGTGACGAGGTAAGCGTCATGGTACAAACCACAAACACGGAGGTCTTTAAAAAAGTTTATCCACCATCCCCCTCCACCCTCTCGAAATTTAGACCACCAAGCTTCTATGCGTTGATTTCAGATGCTTGTTCCTTCGATGAAACTTCCACTTCCAGAAAAATGGTCATCGTCATGCCGACGAAAAAATTGTTGAAGAGTGCCAATGATTGTGTTTTCGGTTCCCCTGTCACAGCGCATCCTTCTTGGAACCCCTCCAAGTTGTAGAATAGCATTTAGGTAGTTTGAGGCGATAACCCTGGGATTTTTGTTCGTGGAACCGACTTCTAACCAAAGAATTCGCCTTGAGAAGCCGTCTACTGCGCCATGAACGAAAAAGCCAAAAGGCGCAAGCTTATCCCATCCGTCAACATGC